AATATGTTCATCATCGAAGGCAATTCTCTGCCGAAGGGTGCCTCAGAAATCTATAGCTGTCTGGTTCTATTGGGTATACTGGGCATTATTGCAGCTGTCTCTCTGAGAATATTTTGTAGGCTGATAAAACCACCTCATATTGCTTTCTGTGGCTCTCCTTACTTGACTAAACATACAGTAAAATCTACTCCTGAGTCCAAAGCCTTTTCCTTATCTGGGTAGGCTGCACTTTACCTTCCAGAGTTTACATCAGAGGGAGAACAGTATTAACTAGTTTATAGCATCTGTTATGTATACTGTGGTATATACTGTGGTATAACATGGTAAAAGCAGAGTGATGCGGTGATATTATAATAAAAAGACACAAGAGGTGTGGCACACCATGCTATCAACTGTGCGAAATTATGGCAAAAGAACATCACTACATGCTATAAGCCTTGGAGATCCATAGGAAGACTTCAATTTTACAAGCTACTGTACCACCACAGACAAGGAGGAAGTAGAGGTTAATTCCATGCTGAAAAGCAGATAGAAAAAAAAAAACACGTTTTGGCAGCTGAGCCATCTTCAGCAGTGGGCGATACTGTTAAACCAAATTTCTGATCCAGACTGCTTGAGCATTATTTTTAATTGATTCATGTCCTGCCAATTTTCATAATGGGAGGTGAGCAATGAGATGAAGTGTCAAAAACAAAACTAGCAGAAAACCCCTTTATCGTGTTAACTTGAGAATCCGGCCCAGACCGGGATATTATTAATAATGCCACCAATGTTATTTATAGATGTCATAAATGCTTCTGGATGATTTTTTTTTGGGCATCACAAACTAGTTGGTCATGTTTCCAAATCAGTGCAAGCAATAGGTTTTGTGCGAAAGGCTCGTGGGTTTTGAAGTTTGTGGAGGAGGCAGTTTTAAACCATTGCTGTTCTTCTCAATCCCCTGTTTTAAATGGCATCGCACATCCACAGCTGCAGGACAGTGTACCACTGTGTCATCCTTCCACACTTCCTGGGCAGCTGCTGTCTGGCCAGGTACGTCTTCAGGCCTGCTGCAGCCAGCACAGGGAGAAACAAGGCACTCCCCAAGAGGGGGAAACAAGACACTGGCCCAGAGAGTCAATAACCTTTGCTGAGCAATTAGATAATGATCTACAGAAGATAAAGTCACTTTCTGGAATCCAGTCATTAGGTCTTTCCCTTAAGACCCAGGTGTTCCCGATGAGTGAACTTCACAGAGAGATCCTCTTCACCTGCATAGGGATTGCTTCACCTGAAAATATCTCTTGTGAAATTTCCTTGAACACAACCCTTTGGGTGTGATGTATAATTTTCCTAACCAAAGGAAGCTGACCCCCCCAAAAAATCATCTTGTTGACATAATAGCAGACAGCAGACTGTTTTTTTTTATTTTCTTTCAAAACATAATTTTCATGAAATCAGGAAATTAATTGTATTTTTTATTTATTATTGTCCTGTATTATGAAAAAACACAGGGATACATGCACTGCCTACTACTGATTTATCCTTCACATATCTAATAAGGCTCTAAAAATGTTAATTAGTCCCCCTAATGAGAAATACAGAAATAATAAGTGCATTTACTAAGAGGGAGGTGTGAGGAACCGGCTGTGAATCTGGGGCAAAAGCACTGTGGGATTGTGGGCGGGGCAGGGGGAGGGGGTGTGCCAGTAACCATGGAGACTGACCTTTGCCATAGGCGACGTTGTCGACGGAGGGGCTGGTGCTCGGGGGCTGCGCCGTCACCTGACCGGCTGGGTGGACCGACAGGACCCTGTTGAGGCTCTGGGGGTGAGTCTGGCTCTGGACCAGGCAGGGCAGACTTCGGCGTGAGGGCCTCACCGTCTTCTCCCTGATGATTTCACTGATGCTGGTGTGCATGACTGCAAGGGGAGGAGGGAGAGCAGCATGTCAGCCACCTGCCTGAGCTCGCAGAGACAACATTCCTAGGCAACGTGCAAGAGAAGAGCTAAGAACCATGTGATCTTATGTTAATTACGCCAGCAGCCATATCACCCTGCAACTCACAACTGGCAGCCCACTGAAACTAAGCAGGTATGAGCCTGGTCAGTACCTGGATGGGAGACCTCCTGGGAAAAACTAAGGCTGCTGCTGGAAGAGGTGTTAGTGGGGCCAGTAGGGGCGCTCACCCTGTGGTCTGTGTGGGTCCTAATGCCCCAGTATAGTGACAGGAACACTATACTGTAAAAAGGCGCCGTCCTTCGGATGAGATGTAAAACCGAGGTCCTGACTCTCTGTGGTCATTAAAAATCCCAGGGCGTTTCTCGAAAAGAATGGGGGTGTAACCCCGGAGTCCTGGCCAAATTTCCCATTGGCCTCCTAATAACCCCCATCTCTGAACTGGCTCCATCACTCTGCTCTCCTCCCCACTGAGAGCTGGTGTGTGTGAGAGGACTGGAGCATCATCCAGGTGGGGCTGCACACTGGTGGGGGTGGAGGGGATCCCCATTACCTGTAAAGCGCTTTGAGTGGAGTGTCCAGAAAAGCGCTATATAACTGTAAGCAATTATTATTATTATTTATTACATCCCCAAGTTATAGAAAAGACATTGCTGCTCTGGAATCAGACCAGAGAAGAGTAACGAGATACATACAGTAGGGGAAGAAGGGACTATCCTTCATCGACAGGCCGCAGGAACCAAATCTTTTAGTCTTGAGCAGAGGAGACTACGAGGGAACCCGATACAAATATCCAGAGTCCCCCAGGGCACTGACAAGGATTGAGGATTTCATCACAGCGAACAGTGAAACACAAACCAGAGGACAGAAGAGGAAACTACGTGGAAGTGCATTGACTGCAGAGCGGAGAACAGCTTCACGAAAGTCATGGGAGTGGGTAATGTTCTCGAAGCAAATACTCCATTCTTAGATTAAAAAACAAATTCAATTCAATTTATTTTTATATAGTGCCTTTCACAACAAGGTTTCCTCAAGGCACTTAACAGTGCAAGTGACCAGACATGTTGTCAATACAGAACAGAAAAGACCAGTAGACAACGGAGGAGAGGAACCCAAAACTCCTT